CCAACTTACCTGAATCCAGTCTCTGAGGCTTGGGGCTCCCCACAGCATTCGGGAGTCCATACAGGTGAGGGTTTTTTTGTTTCTTATTTGTGTGCAGCCCCTGACTGATTTTTCTATAGATCAGTGGCCCTGACCCAAAAAAGGTTCCTCACCCCTGTTTTAGGTGGAGTACCCAGCAATGTTTTCATGATGATCTAACACCTCTTCAGTTACAGGAATACCCAGCTTCTGGTTGTTTTTACTTGCCCTGTCTCCCTCTTTTTACAACAAACTCCTTGCCCCAAAGGCAAAGCTGCAATCAGCTCAAACTCTGTTGCATTTGAGAACGGCCTCTGGAGTCAGGGCAGGCAGCTTTAAGCAAAGTATGAAATCCAAGCATGAAATCCAAATTTCAAGTATGAAATCCAAGAGTTCAAACCTTGGGGTGGTCTACTGCCCCCTAACTCCCCATTAATGGGACCCTTGGAGGCAGCCCCTCAGTCAGGGTTACCATCCCCCCTCAAAGTCAGGCCTGTGAGGCCTCTCAGCTGGAGGTGTCTCCCTGGGCTGGGTCCTCTGTCCAGAGCCCCTATCACTTTCCCTAGCTGCAGGCTGCTCCACACCCAGCTCCGCTCTCTGCTGCGCTGCCTCCAGCCCCCGGCTGCTTCTCTGGCCCCTCCAGCTCTGTGGCTGCAGCCCTGCTTCCAGCAGGGATCTGCTTTTGAAGCTGTGTCTGGCTGGCCGGCTCTGATCCCCTGCTCAGCTCCAGCCCCTGATCTCTCCTGAGCTTGGCCCCACTCTGTCTGACCAGACAAAGCCAGCCCCCATGGGCCCCTCTCCCCTCGCCTCCTGCCCCCTCACTAGCCTGCTCGCCCTATCAATCAGGCTGACCTGGAACATCAACCTCTGCCCATCGCTCCTGGGGACTGTCAATCTCAGGGACCTGACCCTTCCCCCTACCTTTGGTACTGGGGGGGAGTTCACCAACCAATCCCCTTCCCCATCCCTCACTGAGCTTTAGCCAGCACCAGGCCCCGTACACATATACAAAGGCCAGAGGAGCTGATGGGGAGGAGGGGGCAGAGGGGACAATTGCCCCAGGGCCTGGTATGTCTAAGGGCCCCGGAGCTTTCAGCAGCCGCTATTACTACTGGGGCAGTGGCTGGAGTTCTGGGCCCCTTTGAATCGCCGTGGGAACAGCCAAGCACTGCTCCATGTGGCTTTGAGGGCTGGAGGGGGGGCACGATGCTGCACTCTGGGCAGCACTAAGGACTGACTGCCCTCAGCCCCGCCCCTCTGGGAGTGCAGAGCTGGCCGCCACCTCACACCTTCTCCCCAGGCGGTTGTGGGGATCACTGCTGGGTCCCTAAGCCAGAGGGAAAGGACCTAGAGAAAGCTCAGGTTTCCCCCTTATGCAGCATTTTTCGTCAATAGATCTCAAGGGGCTGCGAGGGCCCGGTGCTCCGGCAAGGAGAAGCTGGCAGGGTGGGCGCTCAGCTGCAACTTCTCCCAGCTGGGCTCCCGGGGCTCTCCTGCGGGCTGCCTTGGAAAGCAGCAGGAAGCCAGTCAGGGCTCAGTGTTGCTCCAGCCTCTAGCCCCCTCTCCTCTGTGCCCTTTAGGGATGGGGGGCTCCAGCCATGGGTACCCAGAAATCTGCAGCTTTTCCCCTTCCCCCGACAATCAGAGAGCAAAAGCAAAGTGTGCAGCTTGTGCCTTCCTCTAGCTCCTGGCTGCCCAGGGGAGGGCAGAGGAGGATGCATCAGGCTGTGCACTTTCCCCTTGCTCCCTGATGGTCAGAGGAAGTGGGGAAAGAGCAGCAGTGACCCAGTATGTGAGCTAATGATATTAGAGGTGATAATTGGGGAAGCTATCTTTGTAATGGGTAAGGTAATTAGAGTCTTTGTTCAAACCTAAGTGTAAAGTCTCGAATTTGAGCATAAATGACAGTTCAGAGGAATCTCTTTCAAGTGTAGTCTTAAAAGGCTTTTGAAGCAGGATGCAGGTAATTAAGTCGTTGAGACAATGTCCTTTCTGGTTGAAATGGCAAGAAACTGTTTTTAATCTTTACCTTCCTCCATTTACCTCCCCCCCAACCCCCATTTCTGTTCTGAAATTTGATTTGTCCTTTTCATGTGTGTTCGTTTTTTTAAATTGTATCCTTTGGTATATATGGGTATGTCTGCACTACCACCCTAGTTCGAACTAGGGTGGTTAATGTAGGCAACCGAAGTTGCAAATGAAGCCCGGGATATTTAAATCCCGGGCTTCATTTGCAACTTCGGTTGCCTACATTAACCACCCTAGTTCGAACTAGGGTGGTTAATGTAGGCAACCGAAGTTGCAAATGAAGCCCGGGATATTTAAATCCCGGGCTTCATTTGCAACTTCGGTTGCCTACATTAACCACCCTAGTTCGAACTAGGGTGGTTAATGTAGGCAACCGAAGTTGCAAATGAAGCCCGGGATATTTAAATCCCGGGCTTCATTTGCAACTTCGGTTGCCTACATTAACCACCCTAGTTCGAACTAGGGTGGTAGTGTAGACATACCCTATGGTTGTGACAATTTTCTTCCACTATTTGATCTGAGGAAGTGGGTCTGGCCCACGAAAGCTCATCACCTAATAAACCATCTTGTTAGTCTTTAAAGTGCTACATAGTCCTGTTTTTTGTTTCAGCTACACCAGACTAACACGGCTACATTTCTATCACTATTCTGGTAGCTCTAGGAACTTCATTGAAACAGAGCATTGTGAGGATTCAGGGAACGGTTGTTTGTTCCCCATTTCCAGCTTCTAGAAGGAGAAACAAGTGAGCCGGTAAACTTTAGGGTGCAGAAACAAAACTACTCCAGGAGACAAGTGAAATCAGGCATTCATAGTGAAACTCATTATACAGTATTGAAATAGCACAGACACGCAAACCCTGCTCAGATTCCAGGGGAATGGAAGATTGGAAATTAATGATAAATACAGAGAAAGGACAACTCAGAAAAGCAGCAACAGTCCCGGGCTGGATTAAGTGATAGACCCTACTGGCCCATGACAAGGACTCTGGCTCCCGGAAGCAGCTCAGGTCTTACAGTTCTAGTCCTCATGGAAGCAAAGAGGAAACCTGACAATGTGGCGGGCGTGCAGCTGTTTTAACACTAGATCCTACAAGACAGTGATAGAAGAACCGGGGATCCTGATGGCCGGGACCCCCAGCTCTAATCCTCATCCCCACCCCTTCCCAGCCTGCAGATTTAACCCACAATCACACTCCCTGCTGAGACAGATGGGAGGCTGGTTTAGAAGTTCTGATCCTGCTGCTGCAAGTGCTTTAATGAAGGCGGATTGAAGTCCCGCAAAAAGCTCCTCCTGCTCCCATGGCACAATGGCAGCTCCTGCCTCCTGGCCCAAAGGTCAGCCCTGCAAGGAACGAGAGACACCGGCATGGTTCCGGAGGGGTGGGATGGAAAACACAAACTCCCAGGAGAGTTTGGATCTCGGCTGAGTGGGATCAGGCTGTCTGTGCATGTGGATTGAACCTGGACTTCAAGCTCCCAGAGTAGCAGATGCCCATGGTCTATTGGCATCACTGGTGCTTCCCCCAGTGACAAACCCTGAAGCCAGTTGCACTGGTGCCCATCAACGTCTCTCCTTTCCCCACCGCTTGCTGGCAGGGGCATAGCTAGGAGTGGGCCTGGGCCTACCCACTTAGCATCCAGGCCCACTTGCCCACAGCTCTGTCTCTGTCCCACTGCAGCACAAGGGCTTACCCCTCTCCGCCCAGGACTCTAGCTGGGCCCAGGCAGTAGGGTCAGGGCTCCGCCACCCAGCACTCCTGACAAGGAGCAGAGTCAGGGGCTAGCAAGCCTCCATGTCCAACCCAAATCCCCTGCTAGGAGCGCTGGTCGGCAAACAGGGCAAGTGCCCGATCCTCCCTCCTCTGGAGCAGCCAGCAGGACAGGGGCAAGCTGCGGAACAACCCCCATTCCCAGCAGGGAAGTGAGAAGTGAAGTTGATGGGGGGTGCCGGGCACAGATATTTATGGGGCTCCCATTTAATGGGGTCCCTGGCAAGAGCATCTATCCCTCCCCCTCTGCCAAGACTGGCAGGGGGAAGAGGAGAGGCAGCCCCATGGCTGCTACCCCTCCTGTCATTGGTCACCCTAGTGTCCCATTCTGGCTATCCCGATGCTTGTTGGCCTCCCAGAGCTGAATCCAGGCTAAGCCCAAATATAGACATGGGCTTGGACTTCTCAGAACAGCTAAATGAGGGTATGTCTACACTACCCCCCTAATTCGAACTAGGGGGGGGTAATGTAGTCATACGGAGTTGCAAATGAAGCCCGGGATTTGAATTTCCCGGGCTTCATTTGCATAAAGCCAGCCGGCGCCATTTTTAAATGCCGGCTAGGTCGGACCCCGTGCTGCGCGGCTACCCTCAGGGTAGACATACCCTGAGTAAAGAGCAGACATCTCAGACTTTCAGTGGCTTGTGCTCCTTGTCTGCACGTACCTTTCATACCGACTTAACTAGATTCAAGTCTCACATCTGCCCTATGCCGGGGAGTCCTGACCCACAGCCCTCTTTGCTCTAACCACTAGACCTTATCCTGCTCCACATCCAGAGCCCAGACTAGAACCCAGGAGGCCTGACTCCCAGTGCAGTGCTGTAACCCTGCCAGAATCTAGCCTGTGTTCTGGTTGCACCTGGTGATGAATCAGTGAAGATCTCAGGGCCATCGGCTCTCTTACCACTTTGCTGCTGGTGGCTAAAGTAGACATGGAGACCTCCGAGTAGGACTTGGATTTGCTGGTAAACCATCGCTTGTATTCCTCCTGCACCTGGAGTCGCAGAGACAGACAGTGGCATCACGCCGCTAGCACATGGGAGATCTCTTCTCTCAGCGCCTTAGCCCCATTTCTAACATGCCCATCACCTCAGCATCTCGGCATTACGCAAATCAACAAGAGCTGCATTTAATCCTGCTTGATAAAAGGGAGTCGAGACCTGACCCAGCCTTTGGGGACCATTCGCAGTCACCCGTAGGGAGACTTCCAGCTTTTTATGCCTCCCCACCCCCCCCCCCCTCCTCGGTTTGTGCAAATACGGATCAGACAAGATTATGCAAATGAAGCATGAGAAAATGCTAATCAGCGCTTCATTTGCATTCCCTCTTCCAGCAAAAGCCATAGTGTAGACATAGTCATAGTGCTTTGCACCCAATCCTCCCCCTGCAGCTGAGGCAAAGCTTCATAGGAGCTGTGCATGGAAGGGGATTCTCAGGACGCCATTTTCCCCAGCAGGGGAGCCAGGCGGATTGTTTCAGGGAAGTTCTCCAGGAAACCGAGAGGCTAAGTGGTTTGACCAAGGAGCCGACAGCACCGCAGGGAATTGTGCCCAGGTCTCCTGAGTGCAAAGCTTGTGCTCCAGCCTCTGGGCTATTCTTCCTCTCTCAACAAGGGGCATCTTCATTGCTCTGCTACTGGGGATCCCTGGGGGAAAGGCTGGGGGGGATCTTGCACAGCAGGCTCAGTGAAGCATTGTTAGCCCGCCCTGCTCTCCTGTGGAAGGGGCTCTGCCAAGTCCAGGAGGGGACGAAGGGCTCTGGGGGTACCTGGCGATTGAGGAGGCAGTGCACCAGGAAGATGAAGACCCCCTGCAGGCTGTTGAGGATGGTGAATAAATACGCCATGACCACGGCGGCTGGGCCGGTTTGGAAGAGACCGAAAATCCACGTGCAGCCCAGAATGAAGACTTGGGCGATGGCTTTAAAGGTCAGGAGCCTGGAGAGAGGCAGACAGAGAGATCCAATGCAGCAGCCCTCTGGGAGCGGCTGAGTCCAGGGGCTCCAAGCTGAAATGACGAATTCCTCCAGAGAGCCAAGCTCTGTCATTGCCTGTATAGGTGTGAGAGCGGCTGGCCTAGAGACTTCGAAAGGTCAACGCACAAGCTGTTCCAGGTGAATGAAAGAGCCAAGGGTCGCTAAGAGGGGTGGGATGGATTCGGACCCTATTTGGCTCAGGCAAAAGAGACCCTGTAACATGCCCACTTGAGCTGGCTGTGGACACATATAAGCACAGCAGGGGGTTTAAACAACAGATCTCAGAGAGAGACAGAAGATTCCATCACCGGAGGGTCTCTCCATCTTGGCTTCACAAGAGCATCCCGCTCTGCAAAGAGTGTGTTCCAGCACCTTGTCCACTCCTCGGCTGAGGGATACAAATAATGGGGTGTCCTGCACTGCACTTGAGGAACAGCAGGTTAGACTGAGGAGCCTCAAGACCTGGCACAACACTCAGAATTCCTACTTTAGGGAGTATTGGCACTGTTTCAAAGAGGGAAACTGAGGCATGCCTTGCACCAAGTTATTTTGCCAGCAGCACAGCTAGGAATAGAACCCGGGAGTTCTGACTTCCAGTTCCAACCATTTGACTTCTCTCTGTACCCACAGCTGGGGACAGAATCCAGGAGTCCTGGCTCCCCCCGAACCCTCCCCCTTACCATTGAACTGCCCTTCTCAGCTCTGCTTTTAAAACAACATTACCTGGTGTCTTTGAGGGTGGACACCTCAGAGTTGAGGCTGGACAGTTTTCTCTGCAGCATCCAGAGGGTAAGAGTGAAAAGGACGGAATTGATCTGGAATCAAAGCACAAGGGGGTAACTCACCCTGATTTGTCTCAGGCTCCAGGGAAAGAATGTGAGGGGTAGGTGGGGAGCCTTGTGCAGGAGCATAAGCAGAAATTGTCACCATCAGTAAGACTGTTGCTATTTGGTATGATTATTCAGCCAGCTCCCCAGCTAGTGCAAATCAGCACTGCACCCCTGAAATCAATGGAGCAACACTGACTTATGCCAGCAGAGGATCTGGTTGGATAAGTAGATGTCCCAAAACCCTCCTGGGCATAGACTCCCTTGAGGTCCGTAACATTAAACCGGGGGATGACTGTGACTGTGACTGGGCTGACCAGGCCCTAAACTCCTCTGCTGCAAGCTTGTGGCCTTGTCATATCCCGCCCCTGAAAAGAAGCCACGGAGAAGTCCTCCATGCAGGCTAGAGTGGCTGCAGGAGAAACCAGCCAATCAGGGGCCAGAAAGGCCCATGAAAGCATCTGGAGACCAGCACAGCAGTCAGTGTCTCTGGTGCCCTGCGGCTGTGCAGATGGGACTGGCTGGCTGAGAGAGCAGCAGCACCATGGACAGCTCTGTGTGGTGCGCTAGTGAAGTTGGATTATGATGGGCCCTGCTAGATGTGTAAAGCCCGGACGTAAGGGCAAGGACATTGTCTCCAGGAGGGGAAGCCCTGGCAGCACTGCTCTCTGGGAGTGGGGAAACAGACTAAGAGGGAGGCGAGCAGAGGGCACAGACGTGGGTCCCAGTTAAATGTGTATCCTCGGAAGGGTTTGATTCATATGGGGTGTGACTCAAACGCAGGAGGAACTCATGGAGAAAGTGCAGGCATGTGTATTTGGCCAAGGGGGAACCCATGAGGGGTGAGTTGTGCCCCATTACAGCGACCCACAGTGCTTAGGAAGGGAAGCTGGATGGAGCTCTAAATGTCCCTATGCTGAGGTAGGCAGCAGCACCGAGCCGCAATGAATACCTACCCCCACAATGACACACACCGGCCCCAGGAAACTCCAGATGAACCCCCTCTCCATGCTGAGCCAGCAGCTGCAAGCACAAAAGGTTAAAGGTTTCGGGGCTGTTCTCTGACGTCTGTCATACAGGAAGTCAGACACATGGTTGTTCCCTTCTATCTATTATCTTTAGTCATGGTCATCCGCAGAGGCTGGACGCGGAGTGAGAAACAGAACTCGAGTGTCCTGTGCACCCCAGTTGAGTAGAGGCCAGAAGTTGATTAATTCACTCCTGAAGGAGCGTCAGCAGCACAGCTGTGGAGACAGATGCTCACTGGTCTAGAGCGCCTTCCACTGGGGAAATCTGAAACATGCTCACATGCACACAGCGCTGGCATAAGATTGGACCGATTCTCTTCTCTCCCCTTTTCCCACTCAGCCAGTGTCAAAATAAATCAGCGGGGCTCCTGCTGGCTAACTTCCTGCTCTTCAATGGGCTTATAAGGCACCTTTACTGATCTAACAATCTTTAGTCAATTTTCTGTCACACTGCTCCAGAAAATTTGAGGCAAAATAAATTCAAGATTGAGGCAACTTGCTATATGGGGAAACTGAGGCATAGAGCAGTTAAATGGTTTGCTCAGTGTCAAGCCTGGGACTCAGACATGGGTCTTCCCTAACCACTACACCATCTCCACATCAGGCCTGGCCAAAGGGTTTGTGGGGCCCAAGGGAGGAGGCAGAGAGCAGGGCCCTGGACCTGGCTGGTGGATGGTGACTACACAGCAGCGCAGGGCCCTGGCCCAAGGCATTTGCTTTGCTCGCCTTGCCCTATAGCTGGGCCTGCTGCTCATGCTCCAGCAGCTCCGGTACTCACTTCTCTTCCCTGCTGTAGCCCTTTGGCATGATGGCGGCCGAGACAGCCACCACCAGGGCAGGGAATCCGTAGCCGAAGAGGCTCAGGAACCACATCTTGGGGCTGTGGGTGCTGAAATAGTTGACGACCCCGAGGTTGCGCACGGTGAGGAAGAGCACCACGGCCTCCAGGAACATCCAGGCGAAACAGGCCAGGAACAGGTAGTGCAGGAAGCCAGCAATGACAGCACAGCCCACCTGGGGAGAACAGCAGTGACACATCTTTCATTTCACAGTCTCTACTGAGCATCCCGGGGCTGGACCCACCTGCATCATAGAATCACAGGGTTGGAAGAGACCTCAAGAGGTCACTGAGTCCAACCCCCTGCCCAAAGCAGGGTCAATCCCAAGTAAATCATCCCAGCCAGGGCTTTGTCAAGCTGAGACTTAAACACCCCTAGAGTATGTCTACACTACAAAGTTAATTCGAACTAACGACTGTTAGTTAGTTCGAATTAACTTTGATAGGCGCTACACATACAAACCTCTAGTTCAAACTTAATTCGAACTAGAGGAGCGCTTAATTCGAACTAGGTAAACCTCATTCTACGAGGACTAACGCCTAGTTCGAATTAATTAGTTCGAATTAAGGGCTGTGTAGCCACTTAATTCGAACTAGTGGGAGGCTAGCCCTCCCCAGCTTGCCCTGGTGGCCACTCTGGC